TTAATAGTTTTTGAAGATTTTTTCTGCTAATCGCCTCATTTTTTTTTTGGGATACCATAACAATTTGAAGCATGCCGTTTGAATTTTGTTGAGAGTTTTTTGTGGGATTAGTTTGACTCTCGCGTCGAATATTATAACTGACATTAGTATCGAATTTATGACTATTTGTTTACCATACCAGGTTAGGCGACGTAATTTTATATAATATAGGGTCCGAATTATTTTGTTTACGATTTCATTCCACATTTTGTCTAGCCCTATTTCTCCAAAATGTATACCGAGAATCTTGGTGATTTTCTTTATATAGATCCGGTATGGTGAGTTGGAAGATAAATTTATGAGAGATTCTTGTGAGGCAAAGTATTTCTGTTTTTCAATGTTTGTTTTTTGTCCAGTTGCAGTTTCGAATCGGTGTAGTTCTTTAAAGATTTCGCTAATTGATGTTTGATCGCGAACCGTGAATGTGACATCGTCCGCGTATTGGTTGATCTTGTGCTCGAACGATCCTAATTTTATGCCGCGGATGTTGTTGTTTGATAAAACCGATCTGGCGAATGGCTCAGTGTTTAGAGCGTACAGCATCATGCTGATCGGACAGCCTAATTCCTCTTCGGATTATTATTTCATTCGATAGCCTACCATTTACATCCACCTTGCTACTGATTCCGGTGTACATGCCTTTTAACATATTAGAGACCCTATTTCCAATTCCAATATTTTGTAGAATTTTAAACATAAAACCATGGTTGACCCTGTCGAAAGCTTTTAAATTATCAATTAGAATTAATGTTCCTGGAATATTGTTCATTTTGCAGTGTCTTATGATTGCGTCCGTATTATAGTGCAGGTCTTCGATGATCCTAAGGGGAAGTGAGCATTATTGCGTTTTGCCCATAATATTATCCAGGATCGGCTCGAGGCGCTTTACCAGAATTCTCGGAATAATCTTATAATCTGTGTTCAAAGTAGTTATTGGTCGCCAATTTTTGAGTAAATATTTGTCACCTTTCTTGTATATGAGTAACTTTTGCTGTTTTGGCAGAATTTGGTAGATAGCCGAAATAGAAGATATTATTGATCAATTGTATAAAGTGAGTTTTGATTGAATTCCAAAATGTGATGTAGAACTCTTTGCTAAGGCCATCACGCCCCGGCGATTTATTGTTCGGCATGTTCTTGATGGCTTTGTATATCTCTTCCATTTTGTGTAAGTTATCAGTCCAGCAAAATTCCAAAGGGGTCTCGGGGACTACCTAGCGCCCTCGGCAACATGTTCAAATCAACGGGATGAGAACAGTTTCAGAGGCAGGAGCAAATTAGCCATAATTAGGAAACGCATTGCATATATTTTAACTGCAATAATTTCAGAAATTCAATATGAACATTCATCAAAGTATCAAAATAATATGTAATTACTGATTGGAGGTACTCGATCACATCGTTTTGCCGACCATCCTGTCACTTCAGCGTTGCAGAGTACTGGTACCTTACGGCTTACGTCACTCGATCCATTCAAGAAATTACGGTAGGCCTTCTAGTTACCGGTATTGTCGCCATGATTAATCAATCAAACACTTTGTGTGAGGTGAGCTCATTATACAAAAACAAAACCGACATTTGAATTTGTATGTATGTAGTCTACGATACTGTTGCCAGCTTGGATGAGGTATGATACAATTTCAAAAATCTCGTTATTGCATCAACGAATGTCGAACTGCGCCCAGCTTATAAATCCTTATACATTAGGATTTAATGTTCTGTTAAAACCACAATCTATCATGCCCTTACGCCGAACCGGCATCCTACCAGTACCGGTATTTCAAATTTGTGCGCAGCAGTAACACAAGAGTATGGGAGAGGTTTAAATTGAACATGGTATTTATAGTATAGCTAAATATATACTTGTCGAAAAAACAAATCACTTACCGTACCAGAAATGAAACAGAAAACAACTTCAGTACCCCTTCGATCAACGTGAGTAGCGAGTCGATTTCTCGAGTAGCACAACGAAGCAACTGAGCAAGAGCGGAGCAGCTCCCTTCCAGACCTCCTACACAGGTGGTCCAAAGTTGTGGTTTAATTTGAAATTACGCGCGAACCACTGAAGCGTGAAATAGTTCTATCGATAGTCTGTTTGGCCTTTTCCAGTGGACATGTAATCACTAATCAGGCCTAAAATATGTTCCAGTTCACATAGCCACGAAGAATCCAATCCAGCGGACATCAACCGGTACACCCCGTACTGACCACTTCTGGAGTGCGATTGGACTTATTTTCCAAGAAAAGAAAACGTTTGGACCTCCGTCACACGCGGTATTCCAGGACGTCATTACAGAGTGCGCGGTATACGGTAAGTCCATTTTGTGTAAGCGGCAAACTCTTGAAAAGAATCCTAAAAAATTTATATGGGATAAAATTAATCACAAAACTGTTACCTTGATGAACGATCTTTAAAAGTTTGAAAGAATCGCCATATGCCATATAAAGCTAATACTTATATTTTAATTTCCCCCGAGTCCTATGGGGTCCGACATTTCACCATAATATTGCTATTTGATTTTAGGTCACAGGGGGCACTTTTATACGATCTTTAACTTTCGTGTTCATATATTTGAGCATTGAGCCCTTGTTGGACACGAGATGTACATATGAAACGTTCTGTTATTATGTTGTTATTGTTGAAATTTTTTCTTACTGTAATGAAAAAATAGCTTTTCTCATTAACTACTGGCCCAATTTTTTTTTCTTTTTTGAATTTCCATTGGTTGGAGGTATTTTTGACTAGAAGGCTAAGGATGTTTACCTGAGCATCGACTAACTTGTTAAATTCTGTAACATTGGCGGATAAGCAAAAAGTGTTGTAACAATATACGTTTTAGAAGCCACTCCAGCAGATTTTTTGAGGGATGGTTTCAATCATTACCTCGTTTTCGCGTTTTGCTTGCTATTCGTTAGTTTTTAGTTGTGTTTCCGCAATTTAAGTATATGAATCAAATTACTCAATGATCATTTTATATTCCTAGTAGTTTTAGTTTAATTGCAGAAATCAAATATTAGTCCAAAAACAGCTGTGTTTTGAAACATATAAACCAGTTTATAAGCGCCTAGTCGCGAAACCAATCTTAAATTAAGCATAAAAAATTTTGTAATGGTAAACTACAGAACGAATTTTCCAGAAGTCAAAGGTCGGGAAAACATCAAAAACCCGCGCAACTTGCGGCGGTTCTGCTACCCCGTTAGTCGCAAAGATTACCGTACCCAGTGGCGTAGCAAGACTCTCGTGATTTTTTTTAGGTCTAGGCTGTTGATGGGCGCCAGATGCTTCCAGTCACTTCTTGGCTCCTGCTTTTTTATTGACCTTAGCTGCTGCCTTGGTTTCTTTCACATTCCCGGTCTTTTTGGTAGTTTCCTTGATGACTCCAACAGCAACAGTCTGTCGCATGTCGCGGACGGCGAAACGACCAAGCGGAGCATAATTCTTGAACGCTTCGACACACATTGGTTTGCTTGGAACAAGTCTGACCATAGCTGCGTCACCAGATTTCAAAATTTTTTGGTTCAGCTTCCAGTACTTTACCAGATCTTCTGTCCATCTTCTCTGTTTACCTGAGCATCGACTAACTTGTTAAATTCTGTAACATTGGCGGATAAGCAAAAAGTGTTGTAACAATATACGTTTTAGAAGCCACTCCAGCAGATTTTTTGAGGAATGGTTTCAATCATTACCTCGTTTTCGCGTTTTGCTTGCTATTCGTTAGTTTTTAGTTGTGTTTCCGCAATTTAAGTATATGAATCAAATTACTCAATGATCATTTTATATTCCTAGTAGTTTTAGTTTAATTGCAGAAATCAAATATTAGTCCAAAAACAGCTGTGTTTTGAAACATATAAACCAGTTTATAAGCGCCTAGTCGCGAAACCAATCTTAAATTAAGCATAAAAAATTTTGTAATGGTAAACTACAGAACGAATTTTCCAGAAGTCAAAGGTCGGGAAAACATCAAAAACCCGCGCAACTTGCGGCGGTTCTGCTACCCCGTTAGTCGCAAAGATTACCGTACCCAGTGGCGCCCCCCCCCCCCCCCCCCCTAAGGAAATGACCCTAAAAACTCTCGGACATAATCTAAAACAAAGTTTTTTTTTTATTTCGTCAAAAAGCATAACATGCCGCTATTAAAAGGCTATGGTAAGTTGGTAACCTAAAATTTGCGCTCATCAAACCATCTTCGTCATATCAATTTTTTCAATTTGCTTCAAAAATTAGTAGCTTACCCGTGATAATTGTCGTGTAAGTTTTGGAAGAAAATTCATTCGCGTCGACGCCATCACTTTTGGAGATTAAACACGCATCTAGTTTTCTACCGATACCACCCGTGCTAGGCTTAATTCCTCCTCAGTTATGTTCGGTATTCCCAAGTCTAATTTTGGTTTAAATATTTTGTTTATCTTGGTTACTTTAATTTTTTTTTCATACGCTCTTCCTCTCCTGCCCTTTATTCTTCGTTTTTGTGCGCCACTAAGAGGTTTCGCTTTCAATCTGACAGTCTTCGTAATTGTGCCGGTGGCCGGTGCAAATCAAACCACACGACGCCGAAAATCGACGACTCCGGCATTGTTACGTAACAAAACGATTTGAGCAGAACTAACATCAACATTATAAGATGTGCATTACTGCTTTTGCAATGCAGCTTTTGGTTTTGCTGCCTGAATTTCTAAATTTTAACCGCTTGGGGCCCCTTTTCGATGTGGGCCCCCCGCGACCGCGTGGGTTGCGGGGGTGGATGCTACGCCACTGACCGTACCGGTATTTAATTGTGACAGATTGTATACCCGTACTACTTCGCTTTGGACTTCGTGTTCGCTGTTCATATATTTGAGCATCGCTCTCTTGTTGTTGTATATATGATCATGTTCATAATGAAATTGTACAAATCTTCACTGTAATCTCGAACGGTATACTTTATCGATGAAAGCAGTAAGTAAAAAAAAAACTATCACATATATAATTTCACATCTTTATTTGTGCATTTTACAATGAAATTGAATGTAAAACAGTTCTCAGTCTATATTCAAAAAGATATATATGTATGTGATATAGGCAATAACACACGTGTTTTGAAAAGTTCACTTTGATCTTCATCCGAATAGATGAATAAACTGATTTAGAGGAAAGAAATGTTCTGACTTTTGATGAATGACTGCCACTCAATAACATTTTCTTTAAATGGTCCGTCATTTAGGCATTGGAGAAACAAATAAAAAATTGCTCTCGACTTCCCCTCGGCGGATAAGGAAAATTGCGATTAGTTAGAATTAGTAATGTTGCTCTGGATATATTTTAATTTTTTATTTTATTGAAAAGTGCATATTACTAATAAATAAAAAATAATAAGCAAATTTTTACTCAAATATAACAATATCACTGACATATTTATTATCAAAATAGCAATGTCGCGCAGGAGATAATCGTATAATATTACGAGAAAGTCGCCTGACACAACAGACAACGTTATTATATCATTCAAAATAGATAAACTCTTTGAATTAGAAACGTCACACAGATATGAGATAATATTGATTGGTTGTGTTGATAATTTACTATGTTTTTTCCTCATAATTTTCTCTGCATCATGTCAGTACATCTAATAATGATTAATTCACCTTATACCAATCAGAACATTTAGGAAATTGTATAGCTCGCCTAAGATGAGCTATTTATGTGAACTATGCGAATGACATTGGAATGTATTTCTTTATAACAAAAAAAGAAGCATTAATATGGATTAAATGGAATCAATTTACATTTTATAAAGGCAGAAGATGCCTCGTAACACTTCGCTGGTATGCGACTCTAATAAAACATGTATAACTTCTGACGTGCAGTATTTTACATATTTCATTGAAAACAAGATAAACAATGCTACATTATAAAATATCGGACACTTAAATCAAGCACATATAAACATGCGAATCCGTTGCTAGCTATTTACATTTAAGACATACATTAAAGCAATACAACATCGAACTTTTTGCCTGGCTGGATAATAGAAAACGCAAATATAAAGGGAGAGTATAGTTATGACAATAAATATTAGACGCATATAAAAAAAATCGCCTCTAAATGGAATGTGTTGAAATGGAGATTGCAACGACGTCCTGCTCAACTCAACACAGGACTATCAACAACAAAAAATGGGAATGAGAGAATAATATAACCGATGATTGGTCGCAACAAAATACACACACAGTTGACAACAAAATAAATCAATTGATATACCAAAAGGAATGGAATTTCATAAAAGTGTGGGAGCATTAGAATCCTTCAAACGTTGGAACACAAAAACCAACAAGAAAAAAATACGCTTGGTATTACAACCAATGATATTATAGTACGCATATACCATGAAACAATAAAAAAGAAACAAATATGAAATATTTTAAAACATAAGCAGCAAATCACACCGCGAATTATTGCATTATAAATAAACATAATTATATATATATATATAACGTAACGGTACCTCATCATATTTATCATAACCAATGAAATATAAAATCCTAACAGAAATGAATGTAAATTCAGTATAAGGAGACCATTATGGTGTTTGTCGCTAGTAGATCGCGAAGGAAGGCAAAATATGATTTCGAAAATTTAAGCTTGAAAATAATTCTCAGCCAGTACAGCAATCTTAACAGAGCGCACACTGTCCAATTCAGACTAATTTTGGTGCGAATTCTGGTAGCAAGAGGTGACGCCTTCTTCAGATTATCTTTTTTAAGAAGCAAATCACAGTTTAAAGCGATTTAATTAACACTCACGTCAAACGAGATAAAGTTTATAAATATTCATTAATTAAGTGGATATTTTCTTGTAATACAGGCGGTTGAAAAACAGATCACATAAAATTAGCGTGCACTTGGGGTTGGGGATTGCAAGCGTGAAATACTTTACGAATTTCATTATCCTGGGGAAAATTAGTGAGTATAGTTGGTCCTAAAATATTTGACGAGACAATGGTAAAACAAACGATGATCCTCCTTTTATGAACAGTGCAAATTTCCAATTTTTTAGTTTCATGTTGCATACTTTGTTTGCTTTTATTACTTTGTTGAAACATTTCACATTTGCGGGCATTCTATTATTCAAATTCTTCCACACAAACGACCTGGAAGAAAAGTAATGAATATATAAATAAACATGATATATGCAAAAGTAATTTGAATAGCTATCTGAAACATTCAAAACTTGAATTTCTTAGCTTCTTGTTACGTTTAGTTCATCACAATTTATCATAAAAAATATTTGACTTTATCAACATTTCACGAAGTTCTCTTAGTATGATTATAAATAAATTTGATAAATAATTTTATGGGGATTTTCACCGAAATTAAAACTAAATCAACTGCATAGCAGAAAATAGAAAAATGATACGTCATTTGAATATCCAATATCGGTAGTCATCCCTCACGTATGTCAGGCAACAAATTGTCATAACAAACAATACTCTAATTGTTCATGAAACTGTTCATTCATTAAACGAAGGGGAAGGAAAGATAAGACATATTTTTGCTTTGTAATACTAAGTGAATTTTATGCGGTACAGTGCGGTAGTTACGGATGTTTTCGATACTTCCTCGATATTTATATCCCAAAACGTGAGAATGCACTTTCGATATTGTTATTGTCATGATTTATTAAAAGTTATTTCTTTTTATGACTATAAGCTTTCTGAAAAATCTAGACAATATTTAATTAATAAATTCGCAGAAGAGAAGTCAGTGCCATCTCGACAAGTGCCGCAATGGTAGGTGGAAAAGAAGTAAAGGTACAAAATAAGCATTCTGTTGTTTAAGGGAACCACCAGAAAATTCATACACTCAGATGGATAGGGGAGAATTAATTAAATGAAATAATTAACAGCGAAATTTCATATCTCCCTATTATTGGCGACCTTTATTAGCGATAAATTTTCATCAGTATGTTAAAATACAGACTTGATAAGCAAGTAAAACTTTTTCCTAATAAACCGCCAAAGAAAAGAAACTCGATGACTGTATTCCGAGGACTTAAATGACATGATGCCTTCGACGAATTAATTTCACGTATCAACGCGAAATCTATTATATAGTTTTCTAAAATCGGCCACCAAACAACTCCGCGCTTTTTTTTTCTAAAAAAGTGAGCAATCAAATATACCTGAAAGCCAAAAAAAAATGTGAATGCGGGTTCCTGTCATATATATCTAGGGTGACGTAATTAAATCAATCTGAGCTCATATAAATGAAATTAGTCGAAATTTTCAAACCAAATTCTGTCAAGACAGATTGCCCTCTTTGACGATATATATTGCACGTTTTTAGAGTGGCAAATTCAACCTGGCGGAGAATGCCCTTGATTGGTAATCAAAATGCGGTGAATATAATGCGTACAAGCGTCAAGGGAAACAATCATTGTACCACTTCTGGACGAGATCCCAAATAAGCCACTCAAACACCGAATTGGGGGAATTGTGACGCAGACTATTTGACAACCCAACTTTTATTGTTTGATCATTTCCAGTCCGGATTTTTATCAAAATGGAAAGGGTAATTTAGTTCTTGTTCTGACAAGAACTCGCCAAATTGCTTCCATTTTGTATAATAATCCAAGTACAATTAGTGAAAGTACGCCAATAGATTTTATTCACCCAAATAAGCTCGATTTTGGATCTAGAGCATATGGGAAAATCTGGGCTGCCTACAAGTGAAATTTACCATACAACTTTTCCATGCACATACGCATAGAGGTGCTATTTCTCAGCAGTGATTTAGGTTCCACATTACAACATGAATAGATTTTTATTTACTTTCATTTTTGTTTTTATTTCACAACCCTCATATTTTCTAAATCCATACAATATATATGTATTGTTGGACTGAGCAATATGGCAATATTGTTGGCAATATTTCAATCAAGTACGATTAACCGCATATTGTATAGTCAGATAAGCGAGAATGGAAAGAGGCCGATGGCCAAGAGAGTGTCTTTAACTCGTGAGTCACAGTGATATGGTTTTGAGCGAATATATTTCTTTGGCTATATCCTATACTTTATATTTGTTTGATAGATACCATGTCAATTGGTTCTAATTGTGATTGAATAAATTAGTTGAAAATTTGTCACATCCCTATTTTAAAACGGGAAAATTCAATTGAAAAATGAAGATATTTATGATGAATTAGGCTATGAAAGAACAATAAAATGGCCATGGTGACATGCCTCTAGGTTTTGTGTTAGTTTAATTTTTCTAAACCGTGTGGGTTGAGGCGTGGCAAACATCAAGAAAATATTTTAACACGAAATATTTTGATATAGACAATGTTTGTTTATTGCATTCAAAATTAAAATAAACAAAGTTTATCAAAAAAAACTAATATTTTAGATTGACAGATTCAAGAAAGTGAGGTGATTAAAATATATAAAAATTTGTTCAAAATAATCAACAATGCAAACAAAACAAATATACTGGTATTGTCAAGTACCAGTAATTACTCTTACATACCAACACCTCGCTGACACTGTTTTAAAATATTGTACCATTGCTAGTATATTTAAGTTAATTTAGTTACTCGCCTAATTTCATTAACCAAATATTTATACACAATTTATTATATCGTCACCGTAATCTTCGTTTATTATCATATTTTGCTCATTATAAGGTTTAAAGCATATTCATATATAATAACCTTGAATTTATATTTGTTTATTAAACTTTTATTTCCGTAGTTTGTTTGTTAGATCGTGGACACGATTTCCAATAAATCGAAAATCCAGATTACTTTCAAATTTGAGATAAACAATTTTGAAATAGGCGTATTTTAATAAAACAATATTTTTGCGAATTCGCCGTGGTTACAAGAACAGGTTAGACGACTCCACTAACAACCAACAATCAATGCTTGCAAATAAATAGAGATGCAACCTAAATAAATAAATACCCAGAAATCTGATTAAACAAACTACGTTTTTATAAACATAAATAGTTTTAAATATATATTGACTTCCTTGAAAATGAAATATGCATGTTCAGTAAGATGCAAATGATTCTTGGATAGATAATGTGTAGCACACATAAAATTATTGAAAGAGCATTAAATAAAGCTGAATTAAAAAGCTAATTCATGAGAAATAACACGGTTGGGCAAAGTATCTCTATATCTCAGGTCGAAGAACTGACTCGGCCCCGTAATAACCCAGTGTGGGGCGTTTTGCATTTGAAATATCCCAAAAATTTTAAATTGGTCTCTTTTCTAGTGGGTGTAGAACAAAATATATTGTGTTATTGCGCGTCTATTGTAACGAAAGTAAAAGTTTAAATCAAAATGAAACGCTATATTTGAATTCTAAATTTAGCCAAAAAATTTAACCGTTTATATAACAGATATCTAAAAAAAATCCCCTGCAACAAATTTTATCTTATATATAATTTATATCTTTATTTCTATTTATTACCATCAAATTTTATGCTTATGCAATTATCTTTAGGGTAAAAATGCCGTAATCTTGTGACTATCTCTTATTCTTGGGATTGTTTATTATATGGCGGCTGATACAAAATTGCTTCCGGGCAGGTTTAATTTTTTTATTTTGTTTTTGTAAAAGTTAAGAGAGGTATTGTTTTGAAACGAGTTTCAAATACCTCAACGTTGTCCGCTTTCCAGAAAACACCAAAATTTCCAAGGATGCAAGTTGTCGCCCGAGTTTATAAATCAACACGAACCAACCTCATTTGCTGACTAGCACATTTTGTAGATGTTTGTCAATTTACGTTTAGAAAAACATACATCATGAGTTATAGATTTACCGTCCATAAACTGCATTTCAAGTTGCAATTTTAAAATACCGAAAAAAAAGAAAACATTTTATGCATATATGTTTACATTCAACCTGATAGAAAAAATAATTTATTAGATTGCATTAAAATATAATGATAATTTACTAGAAATACGTACTGTCTCTTTCAATGTATATATTTTCACCAATCTAGAATAAAGTTTTTATACATAAAATATGGACACATAAATGCATCTGCTGCGTCAGTTTCCCAGATTTAAAGCTATTTTTCATATCACCCCTGCTCGTAATTCTATCTACAGATACTTGTAAGAGGCAGCCAAGTTTTTGCATGCATCTCTCTGATTCGAAATAGTTCAGCTACTTTAGTAATTGAAGTGATAAGTGTAAAGTATGAAACAGAGACTTTAGAACTTGTTACGTCAATTTCCGGCGAGCGTCAAAAGCTATCAAAATTTTTGACCATATATAATTTGACTTCAAAATTATTATATAATTTCATTTGTGTAAATAGGATATCAAAGTTTTATGCATGATAATCGACGCTCATAATTCTTTCTATGCTAAATTCAAATTAATCGAAAATAAGGTAGACGATAACATAAACAGCTAAATAAACACGGATTCTTGACACTCCTTATATTGTTTATATCTAGGGACGTGACCTGCGATTAAGCCCCGTGTATCGTTTACTAATACGATCGCCTTATTGATAAAGTCTGTGACGTCATCGATTAAATTTTTATTTTGATGTTCAAATGTAAATATACTTATATACATTCCCGAGAAGCGCGCCATTTTTCCTTTTGTGTTGTATGTACGCATCCAATGATCTGTGCCTTGATTATACCTGCACCCTCGTTGAGCAATAGTAGTGTATTAACTTTTTTTTTTAAATGTACAGATTTCAGGATGTCTCAAAAATGTCGTGTATGACTCAAAACAGTGGGATAAGCGAGACAAATGTGGCAACGTGGGACAAGATATTTCGGAAGAATCGCAGATTTTCAAACGATTCATGTTTCCCGTACTCAAGCGTGATTTTATTCAACGTCCTCGCACAAATATGATGCAAAAAATTACGCAACCGTTTTTTTCACTTGATCAATTTTTAACTTGTTACTACGTTGTTGCTCCGAAGGTTCCTACTTTACTATAATAACTCTACGTACAAAATTTTAATTTCTATAAAAAGGATTCCAAAAGGATAATTTTACAATATAGCTTCTATACATCGATTTTTCTTTGCACATTCCAACTGAATTTTTTGTCAGAATTATTATTAATTAATTATTTTTTAGTAGATTTACAAGAAATTATCAATTGTAGGTC